CTCAAACTTGGAATGTTTTAAAGCAACGATGAAATCTCGTTTTGTTCCTCCTTATTACCAACGTGATTTACGTTTGAAACTACAAACTTTAAAACAAGGTGATAAAGGAGTAGAAGCATACTATCAAGAATTGCTTATTGGTTTAGCACGTTGTGGTATAAATGAAGATGATGTTGATGCTAGTGCTAGATTTTTTGGTGGTTTAAACCATGATATACGTAACATACTTGATTACAAAGAATGGCTTAATTTTTCCCAATTGTATCATCTTGCTATTAAGGCGAACGAGAAGTACTGTGGACTTAAACAACACCAAGCCTTTCGAGGTCTCACAATGGGAGGAATTTTCAGCAGCTGCCCGAGCCGGAGACGACCAAGCTTCTGTTGCACCACATCCATCTACACCTCCATTTTCTTCGGGGTAAGTAAATTGTCTAATGTGCGCTTCCACGGTGAAGAAAGGTGCCACCGGTGCTTCTACTAGCTCCTCCTCGTCCGACTCTAAAATCATTTGCCACCGATGCAAAGGCATGGGACATGTCATGAAGGATTGCCCCAGTCGTCGGCGCTTTCATTGCTACCGACGATGGATATGTAAGTGCTAGTGATGTTGAAGATGATTTAGCCCTTGTCGCTAACATTGATGCAGATCCCACCGAGGGCGATCAAGACAAGGAGGCCATCATCATTGACTCTGATAGGCTGCCGCCATGGACTATCCTAGCCTTCTCAAAGCAGCGTGTGTTGAGTACACGTGTGGGACATGAAGAAGAGATGAAGATCCAACGCCACAATTTGTTCCACATGTATCTCATTGTCAGGTTGTTGTCGTGTTCTCACTATCATTGATGGCGGGAGTTGCAACAACTTGGTGAGTTCAGATTTGGTTGACAAGCTTGGCTTGCTTGACCACACGACAACATTCGTATCCATATAAACTTCAATGGTTCAATAATAGTGGTAAGACTAAGGTAACTAAATCAGCACGCATTAGCTTTTTCACAGTGCTCTTATCATGATATCGCTGATTTTGATGTTGTCCCTATGCAAGCTTGTTCCATTTTGTTAGGGTCGACCATGGGAATTTGATAATGATGCTTTACACCATGGTAGAACTAATACATACACTATCATACATAAGGACAAAAAATTACATTGTTGCCTTTGTCTCCTACGGATATTATTAAACATGCTAATGAGATTAAAAATAAACCTCCAACATGACATTGCTAAAAATAATGGGATTAAGTTAAAAGGAGGTGCTTTTTTCTTGCTACAACTTCGCCATCTTTGAGTTATGTGATAATCTGATGCACCATGTTATACTATGTTTTGTCAACCTTTTATGTCCGGTGCATTGCCTCATCGTCACTAACCTTTTGCAGGGAGTTCGGCCGATGATGGGATGGAGTCGAGGACGACTCCAATTCGAGAAGGGAGGATGATGAGGACATCGCCAAGATGGAGTCGAGGACGACTCAATTCGAGAAGGGGAGGATGATGAGGACATCGCCACGCTGGACACACCGACGTCATGGTCTTCCCAAGTTGCAATTCGTTCCCAACTCAGCTACCACGTCACCCTCGGATTCAGCAGACACGTCCATCACTGTTTCGGTCATAACTTCCTCATACGACGTCGAAACGGGCCGTTCTTGGATGCGTTGAAAGGGGACGACGACGCCGTCGTTTTGGATCTGGTCCCAGCTCCAGAAGGTCCGTGGATCATTCTGTGTGACCACGGCAAGGTGCTGCGTCACCTATTTGGGCCAACTTGGCCATGTATCGTGTCGGGCCTTAAGCCCAAGTTGTGGGCGCCCAACCCCTGGCCGTCCCCAACCCTAGGTCGAGTCTTAGACTATAAACACAGCCGTCGCCGCTGCTACACAATTGGGTTTTGTTTAGAGTTTAGTTTTCCATCGAGAAACCGAATCGTTCATTGTAACTGTGGTGACAAATCCTTTACAAAGTGATCCAGGGCCCCGTTCTTGATCTCCTCCATCGTGTCGATTAGTCCTTTGGAACCGAGTTCTTGAACCTCTATTGATATTCGCGTCATTCATATTTGCAATATCAGATTGCGTGTTTTACCTTCTTGCTTGTGCTCTTGATTCGCTTTGGGGAAAAGCCTTCTTGGCGAGGTCAATCAAGTTGTGCTTGGTTGATAACCAACGGAGCGATGGGTGTAACGGTTGCAGGGTTCGAATCGCGTCTGATTTGAAGCCGGATCGCCAACGTCGAGATCTCCACATATCGAACTTACCGGCTACCTCTCGGAAGATCGGGCCTGTACTCATCAGTTACAATTGCTACTGAGTTGACTGAGTATGAGGATCTCGATATGGAGGAGTACCAGCACATGTATCTTGATGGACACAGGGCTGATGGATAGACAGTGTTTCTGAAGCCCTACTATTATGTTCTGAACAACATCTTGCGATAGATCTTGTATCCGAAGGTCGGTGACTCCACCTACCTTCATGATGATTCACAGAAGGTGCTTCAGCGCTTTGGCGATGAGTTTTAGAAGTTTTCCATTAGCCGCTATATTTGGAACAAGATACATGATGGTACTGAGGATCCGATAAATCATCTTCCCTATGCACCGTACATTATGCATGTCATTGAGCAAGTATCCGTCATCCGTTTTCCCTATGACACTCAGCAAAAGCTCCTCAAGATATCCAACAAAACCTCCATCATTACTGCTAGAGAACTAAAGGAAAAAGCTAAGGCAGCCAAAGCTAGAGGGAAAGGTGCCTCGGGTTCTCGCTCTTGCCGTGGTGCTTCAACTGCTGCTGCTCGCTCTTCTAATACCAAGCCCCTCTCCTCGTCCTCCTCTAGAAAGAAGCCCAACAAGTTCAAGTTCCTAATGACATACATGTTTGGACAGTGTTGTGCTAGTGCTCAACGTGAGCACGATATGCAAGAGAGGCTATATTGGTTGGAACAGCAAGTAGGCATTGTATCTTCTCCTCCGCCACCGTTTGTGCCTCCCCGTGATCCGTTGGCTCTATATGATGAGGCTTGTGCGGCGTACGAAGATGATGCAACTTCTCGCCCCCATGGCAAAGGTAAGGCGACTAAAGAAGATGAGGAGTACATAGAGGATGATGATGATGATGAAGATGACGACGGTGCTGACGACGGTGACCAAGATGAGGATGATGACTACGATGATGAGTAGTTGGGTATTCACGCGGCCTACCCCCTTTTGGCACTTGTTGACAAAGGGGCAGTGTTAGGCTTTGATTTATCTTTGTAATAAGTTAGTTGGTATTTATGTTTCGGAACTTTAAAACCTTTAGCGTGTATGAACTATGTCGTGTGGTGGCAACCTTGTGATGGACAATTATCTATATGTGTTTGATGGATGATTGTAGGACAAGTTATGGTCATCTATTTATCTTATTAGCTTATACTTGTCTCTACTTATAATGGTGAATGCATTTTGGATGGCCATGTGTTGCTTCAAATTCCTTTTTGAAATCTTGGTCATCATATTCTCTTTTACTTATTGTGTGAAATAACATGTCATATTGCATTTCTTTTCACGTCTATATACTTGTTCACACACACTTGTTGCACCCCACGGATTACAAAATTTAGGGAGAGCTTTTGTCTTGAGCATAGTTTTTAAATGATATCGCCTAGGCGCATTTACTAGTCGTCGGCAGATTTTCAAGCCGGCGTCATTGTCGCCAAGACCGTCTCCGGCGTATATATGCCGCCTTTGGTCGGTTAGGCGTTGCCTAGTCGTCCCCTTCTTCTCTGAGGCGGACGCTGTGGACGTAAAAAGGCGCGAGGAAAGAGCGGCGCCAAGGCCTTCAGCCGGGGGAGGGAAAGAACGGCGCGAGACCCTCGCGCGGGAAAAGCAGCAGCGCCACGCCTACACCTCCCGCCAAAGCTCTCAATCCCCATCACGTCTGAGAGAGCGAGAGAGGAGAGGGAAAGGAAGGAGAGAGGAAGAGAGGAGAGGGCGGCGACGCACCTCAAATCCGGCAGCGGCGGCGGCGCGGCGAGCGATCGCCTTGCAAGAAGTCCGTCTCCCACCCAGGCGAGGCCGCCCGTCGCGTGACTGACTCGCTTGCTTGAGGCCGCCCTGGCCCCATCCGCGTGTGGCTCGCTCACGCTGAGGCCGCCCGTCCCGTCCGCACGGCTCTGCTCCGCTGCTGACTGCTGAGGCCGCCCGTCCTGTCCGCGTGAGGCCGCCTGTCCGCATGACTCTTCTCCACTGCTGAGGCCGCCCGTCCCAGCCGCGCAAGTCCGACTCCGGCGCCGTCGCTTCGCTTGCTGCGCTGCGCCTGTGACTTGCTGCGCTTAATATGTAAGTTCAGCTTGTGTTTTATATACCTCATCTGCTTTAATATGTAGCAAGGAGGCAACTCCACTGGTGTCAGCCTTCTGCTTCGTGTGAGAATCGAGAACCCTCTTTGCATTTGAGTTGGAACATGGCACACCATTTTCTTGGTATAGCTCCTCATCCTTGGCCCTCCATTTGCACAGAGTAGAAAAGCGATTCTTCTTTGCATTGTCGGGCTCATTGTAGCCAAACCCAAAAATACATAAGCTATAAACCTTAGTTCACAAATCTCATTTTTATCCTTTTTTCAAATTGCAATAAACAACAATCCAATAAGAAAAACACACCTTCCAGAGACAACTTTTGCAATTTCAGTCCACTTGTTTCCAAGAACTTTTTGAGCCTGCATAACAGTGACAAGCTGATAAGAATATACAGTTGGATAGTTTAGAAGCTTACAACAAGAACAAACAATTTTGAAGATACAAGTGCAGACTGCAGACAAACTAAAGGATTAGAACTGATACCACACAACTGCAATGCATGTCTGAACTTTGCTACATAGTTGGAATGGATAGCTCACAGGCTCATAGATGAAACCATATGTAGAGTTTGCTAGTATTTTTTGATCTGTTGTCTGCTAGTATTTTTTTTAGACTTGCCATTGCCAACTTGCTATTTTTTTTCTAATGCTAGAATGGCAAGCATTAGTCCACCTTCTGTCAACAATGAGAACTATGATCCTAAGGTAGACAAAGCAAGAAAGGCCAACTCAAATGATCCAGGCTGGAAGTATGGATATTGGGCAAACCTTCAGAAGCCAGATAAGGTGACATGTACTCTTTGTGACACTGAGGTTTCTGGAGGGATAAAAAGGTTGAAGCAGCATCTGGCAGGTGGATATGGAGATGCAAAAATGTGTCCTAAGACCACCACTGCCATTAGGAAGGAGATGAGAGATTACTTGGAATCCAATAAGAGGAGGAGGCCATTGTTCAACGAAGAGGATGATGAGCCACCCGAGGAACCAGTAGATGTGGTGGTGGTAGATGCAGTAGCAGCCCCAGCAGCTAGAGCTGAATCTATTCAAGCTGAAGACAGTGCACCTGCAGAATCCCAAGCTTCCAAGGTGCAGCCAAGTTCAGGGACTGCAGCTAAACAAAGGCGTGCAAATTATTTATTCAAGGCTACTGCAGCAAGCAATACAAAGGCAAAGCCGAAGGTTAACAAGTCAATTGTTGAGATGCTTTGGAAAACACCTGAAGAACTTGTTGATAAAAGGCGTAAAGGATGTTCTCAGCCAACAATTCCAGCCAAGATAAGGACCAAAGAGGAGAAGCACTATGTGGATCAGCAGTGGGCCTTGTGATTCTATGAGTGTGGTGTGCCATTTAATGCAGCAGTAGCAAGATAGTTTGAGATTGCAGTTGAGGCAACTGCACAATTTGCTTTAGGTTACAAGCCTTCTACTCCCTATATGTTAGGTGAACCATTGCTTAAGGATGCTATGAAATTGACTAGTTCTATGAGGGAGGAACATGAGCAGGCCTGGAAGATGTATGGTTGCACACTTATGTCAGACGGCTGGACTGATAAGAGAGGCCGCCATTTGATCAACTTCCTTGTGAATAGCCCTGCAGGGACTTATTTCTTGGAGTCTGTTGATGCATCAAGTGAGGTACATGATGCATTTATGCTTGCTGATTTATTGGAGGCAAAGATTGAAGAGATTGGGGAAGACAAGGTGGTTCAAGTTATCACTGATAATGGGGCTAATTACAAGGTAGCTGGTAGAATTCTAATGGAAAGGATTTCTACGCTATATTGGAGGCCATGTGCTGCACACTGCTTGGATCTTATGCTGGAAGAGATAGGGAACTTGAAGGAATTTAAGAAGCCCATTGCAAGAGCCAAACGTGTCACAACTTTCATCTATAGGCATGGGAGAATTCTTAGTTTGATGAGAGAAAAGACAGGGGTTGATCTTGTGAGACCTGCAGCCACTCGATTTGCCACCTCTTTCCTCACTTTAAAAAGTTTGCACAAGCACAGAGATGCTTTGAAGGCTTTATTTGTTAGTGAAGAATGGTTGGGGAACAAATTGGCAAAAACTGCAGCCGGTCAAGAAGTGCACAACACTGTGCTCTCTATGGAATTTTGGAATTCAGTTGAAGATTGCCTTAGAGCTTCAACACCTCTGCTTATTGTTCTTAGGGTGGTTGATGGTGATGAGAGGCCTGCAATGCCAGAGGTTGCAGCACTAATGAATCATGCAAAAGAGAAGATCAAGCTCAGCTTTGCTACTGAAAACAAGAAAACCTTGCTCAAGAATATCATTAAGATCATTGAGAAGCGTTGGGTCACACAAATGGACCATCCTTTGTATGGTGCTGCACTGTATTTGAACCCAGGAAGGCTGCATTCTCTCATACAAGCTAATGATGATGCAACTGTTGGGCAGTTAAGAGGCTGTTTTCTTGATGTGCTTGGAAGAATGGTGGAGGATGAAGAAATTAGAAGCAAGATTGATGCTCAATCCTTGGACTATGAAGGCCTTAGAGGAGATGCATTCTCAAACAAAATGGCCAAGCAAAACCTACAGAATTTGAACCCTCGTACGTGCTGTTTTTCTTATAATTTCAGCAAGTTTTAGTATGTGCAATTTAATTCCAGCAAGTAGCCAAGTATATTTCATCTCAAAATGCTAATATATGTTTGTATTTGGCAATATAGTTGATTGGTGGCGTTCATATGGTGGTCGTGCTATTGAGCTTCAAAGGTTTGCTAGACGCATTGTTAGTCTTTGTGCTTCATCCTCTGGTTGTGAGAAAAACTGGAGTACATTTGAGTTTGTGAGTATTGCCAACTTCACTAGTCACTGTTTTCTTCTAATTGATTTGTGCTCAGCTAGCCAATTAATGACACATTTATTTGTTGTTTTCCCATTCTTCTTTTGTAGATGCATACAAAGAAAAGAAATAGGTTGTTGCATAAGCGATTAAATGACATTGTGTTTGTTTCCTACAACCGAAAGATGAAGACCAGGTTTCAGTTAAGGCGTGAGAAAAAGGGAAAATTTTTGATCCTTTGGTCATTGAGGAGTTTGATTGGGACAATGAGTGGGCTGACTCCTCCTATGTTCATCCTCAAGGTGCCCGTGGGTGTGACAATGGTGACAATGGTAATGGCCTTACATGGGAACTTGTGGATGAAGCTGTTGGTGCATCAAGCTCGCTGCGAGGCCGCAATCTTCAAAGGAATGCCAGCAGCAAGCGTGCAAGAAATGGATAGTCAAGGTTGGTTGAACTTGAAGAAGACTTAGGTTTGGCCAATGAAGAAGAGGAAGAGGAAGATCCACATGATGATGCTGATGTGAGTGATTGTGAGCAGGATCCCAATGGCTCCAACGGTGGTAGCGAAAACATGGAGGGTCCAAACATCCTTGATGAGTTTGATGACGGATATTAAATATTGAGAGTTGGCTGCTAGCGGCATATGGCTAGCAGATTTCAGATCTGCACTAGTTATATTTGTGAACTGCTTGTAATGTGGCTAACTATGCCACTAAGACTCTTATCTATATTTTTGGAATGTTTGTAATGTGGCTAACTATGCCACTAAGACTCTTATCTGAGTTTATGGGCTGATCAGCTGATGTAATGATGACATATTGATATTTGCTTGTGTCTTTTGTTGCTAAATTTCCTTGCTGTTGCTAAATTCCTTATTGTATATGTAGCTTGCTGTTTGGGAGAAGAAAAGAGAGTTCAGATCATCGAAAGGTATTTCACTATCCATATTTAATCTGATTACAAAGTATTTCTGTTACATAATTATATTAATGAGTCACACATGTTGAAACTTGTTAGGGGTTGTATGGCACATGGAAGAAGGCAACTGGAAACAAGAGGATCACTGCTACATGAGCTCTAGAATTGGCAGCAAAAAGGTATGTATAAGTGTATGTTTGTGCTGTCCTATGGAAGGCTAGAGTATGTGTATGGCGTCGCCTCGCCTAGCGCCTAACTCGCCTAGGCATCTGGAAGGGGGTCGAGTGCCGCACCTTGCCTTACCTCCTTAAAAACTATGGTCTTGAGGTATGCAAATCATGTATAAATGATTCTAGTTGATATTCAAATTCATGCATACATCAAGGGGGAGCTCTTCATAAATTTTGGGGTTCAAAAGCTTTAAATTCTTTAATTCTTATAAAAGCCTAAGTTGGTTGTCATCAATTACCAAAAAGGGAGAGATTGAAAGTGCATTTGCCCCCTATGTGGGTTTTGGTGTATTGATGACATCCAAATTAGGGACTAATGTGATCTAAATGAGATATGTCGTAGCTATTAGTCCCGTGAAAGAATCAAAGAGTTGATAAAGATGAAATGGTATCCCTCAATTCTTGAAGTTGTAAAAGCAAAAGAACTCAAAACGATCTCCAAAGGTTTTAATTTTGTTTATGAGTTTAGGATCTGCCGCACTATAAAGAGAGATGCAAATTTAGTTGGTCTGAGGAAGATAGAGTGCTCAAGCATTAAATAAAATCAAAAGGGAGACACTCTAGCACTTCATGAATACATAGAATAATTTTCTGTGTCTGTCGATGTCGGAAGTCCCGACGTAAGCCGGAACTCCCGACAGTCGGAAGTCATGACCTTTGCCGGTAGTTCTATCTCCCAGTCACTTTGCCTGCGCGGTGACTGTGGACGTCGGAAGTCCCGACGTTTGCCGGCAGTTTCGACACTGACTTGACTCAAGCCGGGAGTCCCGGCATCAGGGGTGCTGGCTGTTTGTTTAACTGTGCACGTTGGAAGTCCCGACGTACGTCAGAAGTTCCGACCGTCGGAAGTCCCGACGTTTGCCGGGAGTTCCGATACTGACCTGCACGCGCGGACTTCTGATCCGTTAACGTCGGAAGTCCTGAGATCTGCATCGGAACTTCTGACGTAGATCTGAACGATTGGATTTTCACTTGGAGTATAAATACTCCTCTCTTCACTTCTAACCGTTACACACTCATTCACTGCTGACCCACTTCATGCTCAACGGCTCCCAAGCAACTAAAGCTCCCCTCTCCTCCCCCCTTTGCTCCAATCTTCGATTCCTTAGGGTTTTGAGTGAAAGGAGAGTGGATTAAGTGAGAGCATCACTTTGGAAAGCTTGAGCACTCGATTTCTTCGTCAAGCCATTTGATTTTGCGTCTATTACTCTTGGGGCTTTGCCGCTAGCCGGCTAGGCGTTGCCCAAGAGCTTCCATCTTGTGGAAGAGCCTTGGGAAGTTTGTATCACCCTTTGATTTCTCAGTGGAAAGCTCAAGTGACCTTTGTAGTTGCTTTGAGAGAGGCAATGAGGTGGAATAGACTCCGACCTTGGTGGTCACCTCAACAACGAGGACGTAGGAGCTCCTTTGTGGTGTTGCCAAACCTCGGGATAAATCCTTGTATCCCGTGTGCTTGTTGTTGTTGTTGTTGTGATTGCTTAAGATTACTTGTATGTGTTTGTCTCTTTGTCTCCCAAATCTCCATTTTAGGGTTTGGTCTCGATCTACGGTTTGGAGTCATTACGGCGTCAAGGGAGTGACCCAACATCTTTACCAAACCACTAGAAAGTGAGGTTGTAAGATTATTTATTCACAAAGTTAAATTTGACACTGCTGTTTTTGTAGTTCATGTAGGCATCGGAACTGCTGATGTTTGCCTCGGAACTTCTGACAACGTCGGGAGTTCCGACCCAAATGTCGGGACTTCCGACAGTGACTGACAGATTTGAACTTAGCATTTACAGTAAATTTTTAGATACGCCTATTCACCCCCTCTAGGCATTGTTAGATCCTTTCACTCACCATTGAACAATTTATCAAAATACTCTTGCCATCGATGTCGGATCTCATCCTCCTTCACCAAGAGATGCTCCCTTTCATCCTTAATGCACTTAACTTGGTTGAAGTCCCTTGTCTTTCTCTCACGAACCCTAGCCATCCTATAAATATCTTTCTCTCCTTCCTTCGTACTCAAATGTTGGTAAAGATCCTCATACGCTCTATCCTTTGCCACACTTATAGCTCGCTTTGCAGTCTTCTTTGCCACCTTGTACTTCTCTATGTTGTCCACACTCCTGTCATGGTACAAGCGTCTATAGCATTCTTTCTTCTCCTTAATAGCCTTTTGGACTTCCTCGTTCCACCACCAAGTATCTTTAGCCTCTCCTCCACTTTCTTCGGTTACTCCACACACCTCTGAGGCCACCTTCCGAATGTTGGTTGCCATTTTCTCCCACATGTTGTTTATGTCCTCTTCTTCCTTCCAAGAGCCCTATTTGATAACCCTATTCCTGAATACCTCTGACATCTCCCCTTTCAGTTTCCACCACTTTGTTCTTTCAATCTTAGCTTGTTTATCCCTACGGGCACGCACCTGAAAACGAAAGTCTGTCACCAAAAGCTTATGTTGAGAAACAACACTCCCCTAGTATCACCTTGTAACCCAAGCATGCTTGTTTGTCCTTTCTTCTTGTGAGGACAAAGCCAATCTAGCTAGAGTGTTGTCCACTACTGAAGGTCACTAAATGAGATTCTCTCTTTCTAAAGAAAGTGTTGGCTATCATCAGGTCAAAAGCTACCGCAAAGTCTAGAACTTCCCCCCTCCTGATTCCTACTACCATACCCAAAACCTCCATGAACTGTCTCGAAACCTGCGCTTGTAGTACCTACATGTCCATTAAGATCTCCTTCTATAAAAAGCTTCTCACTACTAGGTACAGCTCTAATCAGGCCATCTAAGTCTTCCCAGAACTGTCTCTTAGCACTCTCGTCGAGGCCTACTTGGAGGGCATACGCACTAATTACGTTCAAGACCATATCACCAATGACAAGCTTGACTAAGATAATCCTATTTCCTTGCCTTCTCACTCCAACCACACTATTCTTGAGGCTCTTATCAATCAAAACTCCTACTCCATTTCTATTCGCGACTGTCCTTGTGTATCAAAGCTTGAAATCTGTATTGTCCACCTCCTTCGCCTTCTGACCCTTCCATTTAGTCTCTTGAACGTATAATATATTTACACGCTTCCTAGTTACGGTATCAACTAATTCTCTTAACTTACCTGTAAGCAACCCTATATTCCAACTACCTAAACAGATCCTAGTTGGTTCGACTAGCTTCCTTACCATTCGCATCCGTCGACTCAGATGTGAAGACCCTTGCTCATTTTTCACTACACCTGGGCGCCGATGTAGCGCGCCACTAAGGAAGCGGCGACCCGATCCTTGCTCACTTGACACCATGCCCAGATCACGACACGGCGCGTCACCAAGGGGGTGCCAACCCGGCCCTTGCCCATTTAACACCATACCCGGGTTCCGATATGGCGCGTCGCTAAGAGGGTTACACCCCAACGGTTTTCTTTCGGGTTTCATCTCCATTAGAATGGCTTGATGTAACGTTGGCTTGTCACGCCTATCACAACCCTCCTCCTTTACTAGGGCTTGGGACCTGCTATGTTGAGATAACATAGGCGGAGTTAAGGTTTTGCTTGGTTTGCCACCAAAATGTGTCATACCAAAAATTTAGTATGCAAAAGTTGGACAAAAAAATTACCATATATTTGGCAAGTCAAATGTTGTCAAATCTTGGAAGCAAACCAAATAATAGCCAAAATCATAGCTTATCAAATTTTTGGCTTGATATAGGAAGCAAACCAAATAGGTTCTAAATCCAGTTCACTCTTGCTGTAGGGGGCGGAGGGCTCAGTATCACGAGGTGTGGCGCCCGCCACATCTTGGTTTTTCTACGGCTATATGCTCTCTCTGCCATTCGTGACTATGATACCTGCGATTGGAACTTTGCACTTCACCGTATCTTAATGTAATTTCGTCCTCCGTGATAACTGGGCGGTTGGTGGTTATCTTAAGTTTATCATTAGTATGAATTGAGAATTTTTACTGACAAATAATTCTTAAAAATCCGTCAGTAAAGATATATCTCCATTTAATTTATAGCTTTGATAATATAGTTTTTTTCTACCTTTTCATATTCTTTATGAACCGTCAATAAAAAATTTCTTGGCATCAATAAAAACCATTGTTGTGGATGACAGCTACAGTCGTCTGGATCATGCATTTCAGCATCCACTTGAATTTAGGAGATTAAAAAAATGGTGATTAGGGAATGAGATACAACTAATTTATGCGAATTAAGCATAGCTTAGTTGGTTGTCTATCTTGGGGTAGAACTTGCTCGGCTGAGTTTAAGTCATAGACTTAGACACGACTGCGTAGTGTGTCTGTTGACACCTGTGGTGATCCTGTCAATCTTAAAATATGCCCATTTCATCTTTGTGATGTACTCATAAGAATAGGGCTTGATCTATACCATGTGATTCAAAAAAATACAACTAAGTCTTTGGTCCCTTTTCTTGAGGGGGAGGTCTTTCCATGGGTCGAGTTTTTTTAACTTGTCAGAAATCACCATTACTAAAACCAAGGCTTTGTAGCAGTTGTAATTGTGGTTGCAAAGGTTTTAGCAGCGTAATTTTTTCCTAATTTTGTTAGTAGTCACTTTACATTCTGCTGTGAAGCTGAGACTACGATTTTGAAGATTTAGTGCCTGTATATATACAAAATTTGCATAACTAGTATCATGCTTACATGCTAAACTTTTGTGGATAGATCAAAAGCTTTCTGTAGCAATTGACCCGGTCGTTGTAAAACCATCTGTTGCTCTTGCTAACCTGAATAAATTATCATTTATGTACATTACAATGATTAGGATATGATCGTTCTTGCTCTTTCTAATTTCCTTGCTCTTGATGAACAAGATTGCTGTTGGTAGAGTTAATAATAGTGACATTTTCTTGTCTTCCGTGTTGGTATTAGAAGGAAAAAGAATGCAACCACAGAATGTCTGTTGGGACTGGTAGAAGGAAAAAGAATGGCACCACAGAATTTGTCATTTCGTTGGACTGCTACGAGGCTGCATTCAGGAACCGAGAAGACTACTCTGATTGGCACCTTACTTGCGATTTTGTTAAAATAGATACTCCTACACTGGGGCTCTACTATGAAAACTATTGGGTAATATGACCATCTTGTATTTCATAATTTGGGTCAAACTCCTCACAACTCTGGTGACGAAGATTGGAGTGATCTTTCTTCGTTGCCATTACAAGATGTTGAGTCTATGGTCTTTGTTGTAATACTTTGTTATCTTTGAAATTTTTATGGAAGTTGCTATATTTCAGGTGCTTGAATTTTTAGACTGTTCAGGCAACAATCTTATACAACTAACTACTATAATTAGAAAGAGAACTCACTAGAGATAATTTATATTTTTTTTCCTATAGTTAAAAAAATAATAAAATTATTTATTGCTTGAACAAAAATAAAAAAAAATCAGGGACTTGAGATATAAAAGTGAAATTTTATACTATAAAATTTAAACTTTAGTTTTTTTGCTAACAGTTAGTCTTATTATATTATATGAAAATGTATACTATAAAAGTTGGTACATTGGATTTTTTATTTAGAAATATTTCTAAGGATCAAACTTTTATTGCTATAAATTATATATATATATATATATATTAATTAATAAGATAAATTAGTGGGTAAAGTTGATCTTGAAGATTGCACCTTGTCAAATTATGTCTTATGTTTTGGGATAGATGAATTATGATTTTCTTTTTTTCCACAACCGTGCGTATATATGTATTTCACTAAGAGGGGGTAGAATTTGGATTATAGGAGCATAAAACAGGCTCCTCGGTAATGAGGATTACCATCAGATGCCGATAACTGAAAACTGATTAGGTGACATTGCAAACCAAATTATGATTTTCTTTTGTTCCTGCAGTTTTAAATAGGTTAGCTCTGGTAGAGAATAGTCCCCGCCAAAGCTTGTTTCAAGCTTTTGCTGTAAACTATGACCTAGCAAAACCAGCTGACCATGTTTATTTTGCTTTCCTGATGGCAATAATTGTTTTTGTTTAACTTATAATCCGATACAATGATATAATGACATAGTCAAACAGATTGGTATAACCGTTGTCGTAATCGTTAGGTGGCGTTTGGGAAATAGGAAATGGGGGTTGGAATAGGGAAATAAGCGGTGTGATAGATTTTTATCTCATGTTTGGATAATGGAAAATGAAGATAAGGATAGAAAAAATCAAGACTAGCATATCCCCGCCTTTTATCCCAATGCATTTCCTTTTCCCTGTCCCAATCCATATCCAAACGTTTCTACGCCATGAGCTCATGCACGCATGATTTGCAGCGTGTTGCCCTGAAGTTCATGAATCATGACCGAGTCTTACGTCTGACCATATGTGGCAAGTGATAGGCAATATGATTACTGTTGGTCTCTTGCAATGGTTAGCATCGACAAAATGTCATCTTGGAGCATACATAATCGAGTGAAGTAATCTCAGAACAATTCTCAACCATATAAATCAGCTGGCGCAGCACGAATAATGACGACTTTCAAGGTTTGAGGTGCTAAACATACGGGAGCAGCTTTCGGCCGGCGTCGTTGAAGAACGCCCCCACCGTTGCCCACTCCTCCAGCAGCACCTCCTCTGTTCCTTCCCTGCAGATTGGCGGGAAGAAGAGCCAGAATGCCGTGCCGGCCACGAACACCACCACGAGCAGCGTAGCCACGGGTCGCGGCGGCGGCCGCCACCCGCACTCCGCCCACCGCCGCGCGCACGACTCCTCGGCAACACAGCACACGCCATGGAGCAGGAAGAAGGCCGTCATCTCACCGGTGGGTGATCGCAGGGTGAGATAGTACATCATGACCTCGTGCATCAGCCCGGACACGAGGAACGTGGCCAGGACGGCCGGTGCCTTCCGGCCGGCGCGCGCGCACGGGGTCGTAGACTGACGGGCGGAGGATGGCCGACACCATGAGGTTCCACCGCCGACCCCAGAAGTCGCGCAGGGACGACGCCAGGTACGGCCTGTCGAACTGCGGCTCCATCTCCATGCCGAGCGCGCCGCCGGCTGCCGCGATGCAGGGGAGGAGGAAGTCCAAGAAGCAGTACATGTGGACGCCGTACAGAGCGAGGCGAATGTAGAGATGCAGCTGGTTCACGTACTGGTAGGCATGGAGGATGGCGGCTATGATGGCGACCTTGACGCGCACGAAACGAGGGACACCGATTTGGCTGCTCCGGCGGCAGCGCCGGTGCCGCAGCATCTGATGAGCTTAACGGAGAGCGCTGTGGTGAAGACGAACGGGAGAACGGGGAGCGCAGGGCCGAGCGGGCCGCGGCCGACGGCCAGGAGGACGACCTTGAACACGCCGAGCCACCCGAGGAAGAAGCCTGCGAGTCCCCGGATGATTGCAGAGGAGGAGAAGGCAAGGGGAGCCGCGGCAAGGAAGGCGACCACCGGGAGCAACGACACGAGGTGGGAGAGGCCGGGGCGGAGCCACGAGGACGCGGCGCGCGCGCACACCGCGCCACCAGGACAGCCAGGGACACCATGGGGATGCTGTCCTGCAGGAGCTCCATGTGCCCCGGCCAGTGGCGGCGTGGCCGTCGAGCTCAAGCTGCCAAGTGCCGATACTGCTGGCGATACGTCTCGTGGAGGTCAGCTCGTGCCATTACAATAACTTGGCAGACCGTCTTTTCCAGCTGCACCGTTGTCGCCGCATTTAAAAATGATTGAATCATACCACCGTCGCGCGTCAAAATCTAGCGGTGGCTGATGGCTGCAGCGTTCTCATCGCATTTAAAAGACGGTGATCTCTGACCTGCATCTACTCAGACCAACCTGCTCACCGGTAACCGCTCACTAAACCTGTACACCAGCGAGCTGATCGACACACCCCGGCCCGCCACTCAGGTTAATCAACAATCCATCTTTCGACATTGCTCTCCATTCTCCAAAGTCTGGATAAACAAGCAGTAGAACCCATGGTGGCGGCCGGCGGGGGGAATCCATATTTCTGGGCATGTGGCTGGCCTCCCTGCGACCCTGCCGCAGCGTCGGCGTGGCCACGAGCGAGTTCGAGCTGCCGATCTGGCGATAAGGTATGTGCTCGTGCAGCCCAGCTTGTAGCACTGGATACCGGCGACCGGCGAGTGTATATATTATATAATATACATTCAATAAACGGAAAGGTTGTACTCCGGACGCCACCTCCGCGTGCCGCCCACGCCACCCCGTGCCCACGTGACCCCACGCCCGCTCCCACGCGACTCCATGTCCACGCCCGCGTCCTAGCGAAGACGAAGACGACGGCTATGGTTAGGGTTCCGGCAATGGTCGTGGCAACGTTCCTCTTTGGCCTCTCCCCTTCTTCATATCCAACTCCGGCGGGCTTAGAAGGGGTTTTAGGGGGAGGCAGGCCGGCCAGACGGTGGGGACGGCGAGAGGGCGGCGTTCGGGTCCTGACGACGTCGCGGCGGTGCTCGCTGACGAGCATGGCCATGGCAGTGCCAGGAGGGGAAAGGGAAGAAGGAGGCCACCATGGGCGCGCCCGCGGAGCTCTGGCGAGACCCTACCGCGGTGGGGCGGTAGGTGATGAGAAAGACGAATGTCGTCGCACGGGGAGGAAGAGGGGTGGAGGGGCTGTCGGTGGTGGAGGGAGGCATAGAGGCAGTCGGGCGCAGGAAAGAAGAGGACATATAGGAGGAGGACGTTCGTCCGAACTTCCGAATGCTAGCAGCGCTGTTCAATAATTGCACACATGACTGCGTCATTGTCGTCACATTTAAAAACCGATATCTGAATCAAGCCACCGTGCTCACCACTATGACAACATTACACGTCGTCTTTCGTTGTCGCACTTCAAAGTCTACGAGCAGAGATCACCAGAGCAGTATAGCGTCAGGGTCAGTAGAGTTTTTTAGATGACATGTGGTCACTAGATAATTGTTGAGATCTCATAAAGTCAGACGTTCAAATGTCATCCTACCAATTTCAAGTGCCACGCGCTAGGGGCTAAAGAGAACTTGCTAATTTCGCACCTTCAGTTGAGAAATGACAATGACACCCTTCATTGTTTTCTGATTTCCCATACTAAAGTCATGTTTGTTTGGATTAACGTTTTCAAAAGCTGCGTTTTGTAGGTCAGCTGAAAAAACCCATTTCTTGGATCTCTCCTTTTCGCGTCCATCGTCATCTTTCCAAAGACAATATGAGATGTTTTTTACCATCTCAAACATGTGGTGCCTGTTCTGATGTCTTGGCGGAGCGGATTCAATCTTAGGACAGTTGTCATAATGAATTTTAGTTTCATTCTTGGCCATTGCATGCTTCTCTGTTGTTTCAATAAATTTGTTCACTACATCACATAAAAGTGGTTTCCACCACAGTGAATTGTACATTCATGAGTTCATGTCCACCTTTTAAAACAGCAAATCAAAAAAAAATTAATTGATATAAGTAATAACAACTAGTATAGAAAATAACCCCTAATTAAATAATTAATTAATATTCACATTATAATTATAATCAACGAGACTGAAATAAATTAGTGGAAAACTATTAATATTGGACACATTGTTCATGCAAACTTAATCCCTATTTAAAAACTAACTAATAGACCATAAAACCCATCAACTTTAAATTAATCATGTCACTCTAAAAAAACTGCATCAACCCAAGCCACCAAAAAAACAATTAATTAATTTTCACCCCAACCAAAAACCTACATCAACACATGCACTTAATCATCTTTCCAAAACAAAAAAAAGTATTGATACTGAACAAAAAAATGTAATTCTAGATCAAGATCTAGATCTGTTTGATCTCTATTCAAAAATTAACTAATAGACCATAAAACTTAAGACATGATGTAATTTGTATCATAAATGCCTCAACCACCATGAAAGAAAGAGAAAATAAAAAACTAATTAAGCAATTGATGTACCAATAAACCTTTAAAAGAGGTTAGAGACAGCATTTACTTACCTTCAAGAATGTCCCCCTCCAAAGGAATGAACAGCAAAACCTTGACCTCTTAGATTCGTATTTCTTGGAAAGTTCTCCAAGCTTCTTTTTCATCCCTCATCGAGCTACAAGTATTTGTCCCGAGAAGGAGGCAGGGGATGTAATATATACAATAGAATTAGTATAGGTGGCTCTAATTACATCTGCCTCTAGAAATGTGTGACTAGAGACGACCGGAAATCCTAGACGCCTCTCAATATTATAATTTCTAGAGGTTTCAATTGCCTCTAAAAATGATGCACATTTTTTAGAGACAGATAGGATTCCTAGCTGCCTATGGAAATGTATTTCTAAAGACGACTGGGTTAGTGGGACCCGATAGAGGACTCTATATAGGTGGTAGGAATTCAGCCGCCTCTATCCTAAAATATGGCCGTTCCTAAAAGTCAATTCTGAAGTAGTGGGAGTTAGCCCGTTTGGCAACAAGAAATATTTTGGGTTGTTGCGAGAATCGACAGAATCACTGCCAAATGGGTTACATGAAAAATGTTTCACTCGAGAATCACTATAAACGTTTCTTATTTTTATGCATAGCAAGGAGAAACGTCTGTTAACTGGTTTCACGTGATTCTGATTATTGCCCCCTTCTATATATTAGCAACCATAATTTTATAGTTAGTTCTTTTTAAATGAAATAAGTTAAAATAGGTTGTATTTAAGTTGCTCTTCACCTAAAAAATTCTGAATTCTTTTGAAGAATATTTTTATTTATATGATTTTTATGAAAAGATATATTTTTTGAATCAGAATCCAGTCTACTAGCCAAACGGTTTCACGAAGTGATTCTGATTCATCACCATAAACGTTTCTTGAGAAAATTAGATCCGAAGCGTTTCTACAAGAATCTAGATCTCTACCACATTACCAGATTGGTGCAGTTCTCCTAGTGCATTAAAGAACATTACCACTAAAGAACACTACCACTACTAGGCATATAGAAATGGTCCGTCGGAGGCAATTGGTCGTATTGGGCTCGGTTAGTGACCAGTGCCTTTCGCGTCCCTTTGATGGTGAAAGGTAGCACTCGGCAGCCTCGGGCGCCCTCGCGTGGCGCGAGAGCGGGATCGCTAAGATAAGGCTTTCGCTCAATCGGGCGAAAGCCTGGCCATTGGCCGAGGTTTACGGGGTCGATTTAATGCTTTCACAAGGTGACTTTCTCTAGTGTTGCAGGAATTCTTCACCCTTTCGTCGCTATAGAGAAGGCCGCGGTGGGCCGAGCGGCTACAACTGGCCGTCGGGGGGACCAACGGCATGCTACAAGGGTGGTTGGAGCCAGAGGGAGGTGGAAAATGAAAAGACCGGATTGCCCTCGGCGAAATGGAATATTCACTCGGATCGGGGTAGTTGTGAGGACAGCTGAGTCCATGTAAAATGCTACAGTTGTGTATAAATAGTGCCCCCGCAGGGGTTGTAAAAGGAGGAACTCGAATTCTGGTTAATGAGATCAAGTCGGGTCACTTGTAGTGGCCTCTCGCCAGTTGGTTTTTTCGTGTTTCGATACTTGTTCGGGTGACAACCAGGGGTTCTAAGGTTATGGCCTAGAACAACATTGGCGCCCATCGTGGTTGTTGCTCGAGCTTATCATGCCACCGAAGAACAAAGCACCGAAGCCACCGGTGGGCAGGGCGGAACCATCCAAGGCGGCAGCTGTTGTAGCCGCAGAGACAGCTGAAAGGACCTAATATGGCTAGATGGGGGGGGGGGTGAATAGCCTATTTAAAACTCTACGAAACCACTAGAGCAATTGATTAGTACAACAAACGGTGCAATGTAATTTTGCTCTAGCTCTACAAGGGTTGCAAGCCACCTATTTCAACAATTCTAGTTACTATGATCACTAGGCACACAACAATGCTAAGTTGCTACTCACAAAGAGCTCTCAACAAGGCTACACTAAAGGGCTCCACTAGATGAAACTAAGCTACCAAGCAAACTCTTAATTCTAGTTACACTAAAGAGCTTGCTACAACTAGTTTGCAAGAAATGTAAAGGGGGTGAGTAGGGTGATTATACAGCCATGTCAAGGAATGAACCAATCATAATATGATGACAACAAATCACCAGGAGAAATCCAATCACACAAGAGACACAAGATTTTTCTCCCGAGGTTCACATGCTTGCTGGCATGCTAGTCCCCGTTGTGTCGACCAACACCTAGTGGTTCGACGGCTAAGAGGTGTTGCATGAACCTCGCCAACAAATGGCACTGCAAGAACCTACCCACAAGTGAGGTAGCTC